CCTTCATGGCTTTCGCCAGGTCGTTACAAACGTTCAACCGCAGCAGAAAAGCTGAATTGTAATTTGCTTGCAAGGCCGTCAAATTGGTCGGCAGCCTCAAAAGAGCTGGTACTGTCGAGGTCTCTCTATCGCAGCCATGTTTTGAGCACTTTTTTCGGCCCTGTTTTAGGGGCCGTGATGAAGCAGGTTTGTTGGCATTCGAGGCGCTCCGAGGCCTGGACGCAAAACGTAATGGCACGAGGACAAAGCGAGGCTCACGGGGACTCGAATCTATATAATACACGTCAAGACTGAATGAGCTGAAACCAAAAAACGCTGGCGATGATCACCAGGCAAGATATCCATTGCTTTCATGAAAGCCTGCAGTCCAAAATGAGGACACATGCCCCGTGTGGGACCTTAACTTCAAAGTTCAAAGCACATGCAGATTTTCGTCCCTCGATATGTTCCGTCTCTCTTGCGAAATAAAGAACATACCATGTGGCCGCCACGGCCTCACCTCCATGTGATCCTGCATTTTTTCTCCCGATAGTTTTTGCGCGGGCAGCGCAGAACCCCCACACCCCCGGCGGCAATGCTGCTGTGGAACGCTGTAAAGAAGCATATGACAGCTTCAGTCCATCTCACACTGACGCAGCATTGCCGCTGGGGAGCGGGGCGTATTCAACAGATCTCTTAAAGCGGCAGGCCAAATATTTCAAAAGCTTAAGCCCGTGGCAGGCGCAGTACTTTGGCAGCTAACAACCCCGTCGCAGGCACAATATTTCAGAAGCAAACATGGCCACTTATTTCCGCTTTCGGGGCTATAAACACAGTGCGAATATGCAATCATAACGCATAGTGTGTGAAACAAAAAGAACAGTCTTACGCATTCGTATATTTCCGCATTCGGAAAATGTAGGGGGGGTGGGGGGCTCAAAAAGCACAATCCACAAAAGAAGTGGAACCCACCCGCCCTCCCTTTGGAGGCGATACCTTGAAAAGGTAATGGCAACCATTGACATAGACTTAAGAACTGTTACACTTCTGTTGTGTGTGTCATCCTGCGCAGAACAGTGCAAGAGAAAAGAAAACTCAGTTGCATTCAACAAGAAACAAAGATTGGGTTTGTACACGTTGACTGCTCACAGAGGTTAATTAAACAAGGTTCACAAACCAAAAAGCACCAGGTCCAAAAAGGTGCCACAAATAAAAACCAAAGTGAACACGACCACAAACCCAAATGCACTGAGCGCAGGAGAACGGGAGACGCGAGCGTAAGAGGGAAGAGGAGGGCGGCTAGAAGTTGCATTCAACTTCTTTTTTACTAGAAGGGAAATAAGGTTTCATCAGCTCGCTGAGTCGCAACTTATTTCCCTAAAAGTAAAAACCGCCGACCCCTCAAAACAAAACGTCGCTCGTCTTTCCCGTTTCAAGGTTCCTCATAAACCTTGTTCTCGTTCAAAACTCTAAAAGACTTTGAGGCAAAAACACCTCTGTAAATTAAAATATTGCATTCCGTCAAACGAGAAAACACAGCTTCACAATATGAGAAGGCGCACCCTCCTTTTTTTCCTACACAGATGGGAACATCGCAACTCCGCTTTCGCCACGGTCCCCACCCATGTCTCAAGGTGGCGTAAGGGCCACTTTCAGGAAGGTTAAGCTTTCTTCGAAGGACCTTTCTATTTCTTCCTTAGGAATCACGGTGTCTTTCACCAAGAGAGGATGCTCAAGCAGTCTCGAGGGGTAATCTGCTATGTTAGAAATGGAAGGCACCCGAGCAACCAAGGTAGCACAAAATGTGCATCTAGTGTCGTCGCAGCCAGGGCGCACACAACTGTTATTGCTCTGGAGGCGGAGTAACCCTTGATCAGTGAATATTTCGAACCCTCGTTATCTATATAGACCATAAGTTGCACCGATTCCAGAAGGTTCTGCCAAACCAGTAGTGACAAGGCAACCGCCAAGGTCTCAGCTCACCTATAATTGTCTGTTGGCCCGCGCTGAGAAAAGGTGCCAATTGTTCTTGGCTCAGACACATCCCAAACCATGCTATGACCTTCCCTTTTCCGTTCACCAGTACCGCACATAAACCAGCTCGACCACTCTCCTCAAAGCTGCATCCGTGAAAAGAATAAAGTCTCCAACAGTTCGCATGTCAAGCGTGTAGGTTTCCCTTCTGCAATCCGGGATCTCAGCAGCTTCATGGAGTTCAACGTGGTGGAAGCTAGCTGCTCTCGAAAGGGTTTGTTGTATGCATGCTTGCAGAGCAATCTTCCCAAGCCCTTTGACATGACCTCATCCAGGAGGGCCAAGGTTTCGCGTATCCTTTTTTCCGTGTTACAGATATTCAACACGCCCTTGCAGGTATCCGCAAGGTGGAATTGTACTCCCAGGGCGCTAACCACATCAGAAAAGTCATCACTCTTTGGGTCCTCGCGATCAAAGCTCCATCTCAAAATGTCCAGCATGAGGCACAAAGTTGATTGTGTGTTTCTTGCAAGCTCCGGACAAGCGAGGGAGACAAAGTCATCGAAATACATGACAAGGGCAGTTTGAAGCAACGCACCGCCACCCACTGCAAAAACCTGGCACATCGTATGAAGGCACTGACCGCCGTCCTAGATCCAAACGGTAATGCCACTTGTTGAAACAGTGCAGCCGATTGTTGATGAGGGTCATAAACCGACAGAAAAGCATGGCCAGCTGAATCATCCGACACCGCAAGTCGACGGTAGGCTAACGCCAGGTCCAGAGATCTTTCTACCAACTTGGTAGCTCTGCCATGTCCAGCAAGGCAACGCAAAGAAAGGTGCAAAAGGCACTGATCACATCAGAGCCATCCACTGTAGCCTGTTCATAACAAGTCACTGTAGAGTTGATTTGACTCTGGGATAAATCGTCTATCGGTCTCACCTTTCCAGACTGCTCCAAAGGAAATCTCCTAGAAAGTGTCGCATCACTTTGTGTCCACACCAAAGCTGTCTGGGAAAAAATGTTTCATTGCATAGGTCAGGTTACCTGTACCACAAAATAATTCGACACAGAAGAAGCCGCTCTCCCCAAACTGTGGCTCACAATATCATCCGTTTTGATTTGTTCACTGTCCAAAGTTGGAGACTTACGCTTGACTCCCTGTGATGAAACTGCAGCTTTGCCCATTTGCTGTCACTGGTGTTCATTCTGTGGATTGGGCCTTGTAACAATTGGGCACCGCACAGACATGCTTACGTGGGCATGATGTACCCTGCTCGCAAGTCCCAAGGTTATAGCTGAAACAAATCCGCTCTCCTTGAGGTGCACGTGAGCGCATGCCTCTCAACGCTGTCGGGATTGGGTCCCGTTTCTTTCCTTTGTTGGATCCCTTCAAAGCCCCTTTGTGGAACTTCTTCGGCGGCTGTCCTCCCTTTGTATTAGGAGCTGCGGTATGCTTGGTGTCCTTGTCCACCTTGTCCAACTTGTCTGTTGAACCTGCACTGTGACTCGTTAGCACCGGCAGCATGAAATATGTCACAGTCATATCACTCTCGATCTTTTCCACATAGGGATCCAGAGGCTTCCCTGCAACCACCGCTGCTTTGAGCGAGCCCGTAAAAAGCTCACTCAGCCTGATAAAGGCTTGCCGGTCTGCCCGTAAAAGTTGAGCCTGTGAAACTTTTTGGAGCCTGGTGCTGGTGGTTGAGAGTATAGAGCAAACACCTGTCGATCCATTTTCGCATCACCTCACAGGTCACCAATCCAGTGAGGTCCAAGGCCAGGGTTCTTCGCTGCATAGCCTGGTACAGTGATAAGTCAGACGTAATGCTGATCTCGGTTGTATTGTTCTGTTCTTTGATGACCAGGGCCGTCTTTGTTGAATCCAACCGGATTTCTTTCTCAGGCTTCATCCCCATAAGTTCTTGCTGCCTTGAGAGGCACTTCGAAGGACTGATGTATGAGACCTCATTCTTCTCGATCATGCTTGCACATAAAGTGCATGGGATGGTTCCAGGGGACCTTGTATGTCCAAGCCGCGCAATTCCTGCTTCTGTCCTTCAAGTCTGGCTTGCCTTTCAGGTGCTGACAGCTTTCCAGGCAAAGCTTCTCCTCCTCTGGCTGTTGCTTTGAAACTGTGCATCATCAATGTCTGGCTCTCGAAAAGGATCCTTTTGAAGGCTGAACGATCAGCAGTTGTTGGTGCCACAACTGGGCGTAAATCTCCTAGATCTGATCGTTCGTGGCTACTACTCCAGGGCTTGTTACAGCAAAACTCAACTTGGCGAAAGTCGCCAGCGCCCCATTTTTGAGCGCTTCCACCCAAGCCTCTGACAAGCCTGCATCTTCTGCCTGCTGTGAAAATGTCGCTTCAGAATCCAGAAATGTAGCTGAAGCCATGATACCACCGCACGTGGAAGTTAGGCTGAAGTGCCAATCCACCTGCTATTGGATTTATATCACCGCTTTGTGTAGTCTGGTTTCCATGTAAACATTTTTAAATTGGTTGCAAGGACTTTGCATGAATCTCATTTGACAGTTCAAAAAGTTTTTGCCAAGAATAAGTACGCGAATTCTCCAGGTCATTACCTGCAATCAATTAATCCAATGATTCAATGCCAACTGCATAAACTAAAATGCATTGAAACCGATCGACTCAAACGTCGACATGCTCCTATGAGCCACATATCGCACGACTGCATTCAATCATGCCTGCTGCTTTCAGCCCTATACTGCATTCAGTGACTTTTGGAGTTGCCTTCGAACCCTCAGAAAATATGATATAATCTGCAACAAATCAAAGGTCGTTACAATACATGTTGCATTCAACATGTCTCCAAGAACCTTTGCTCAAGTATGTCCAACATGATTTGCGGACATGCTCAAAAAAGAATCTGGATTCAAGGTGAAACGCAACGCATTCGTTATCACAGTCTTCTAATCATTCAGGTTGCCTTCAACACAAATGAAAAATGAGAATAATGCCAATGGATTTCAGTCTGAACATGCTTTCACCACTCAGACCTTTTTGTCCGCGCTCAAGGTCACTTCGCCCTCTGGCGCTCCAACCTGCTTTGGTCAAGTGCCTCTACAAGACCTTCGACACTGGACCCTCTGCAACGTGCATTGATGGTTGAGCAGCCCTCCGCCATATATTCAAAATGAGCATCATCTATCAGTCGACCACACAATGTCTGCTTCTTGAAGGAGGAACATCGGTGAACTACATGACTCCGAATGTTGCGCCAAACTGGGCCCGGGATCCAACACGCCTGCTGCGCAACATCACCTTCATCAGAACTTCCGGAGCTAGAGCTAGTGGAGGTTATGTCACTTGACTCCTCCTGCTCCTGCGCTTGGCATGAGGCTGGTGCTGCCTCTGTGCCTAAGGGTGAGGTTGGTTCAAGCTCCTCCTCCAATCTGCCTGCATCAAGGGTCACTTTGCTGTCAGCCGCCACCGCATTCGGCCTCTCTGTTGTCGCCTGCCCCACTGTAGACAAGCGCAACAAATCCGCCATGCGGGATGTCCTTGTTCAAGAAGGTGCCAATCTCCTCTGTCAAACATGAACGGTGGCAGAGGCTCCCATCATGCGATGGGGCTTTGCACAAAGCCCCAAAAGGTTCTGCCTCCATGTTGACTCCCAGTGAACTCATTGCCTGAACCCAATACTTCGACCAGTCAATGTTTGTCACACCCAGAACCGGTGCTACCAGTGGCATATACCTCTGTTTCTTTGCCAGCGTCGTTGCCGTCTTGTGGTACCTTGTACGTGCCTCCACAAAGCGGTAAAGCTCTCCATTGAAATCTACCTTCTCTATCCAGAGCTGATGAATCATCTTCAGATCCGACCATCTGGATCTTGAAAGCACCGCAAAAAGAATCGCACCAAGCATGTAAACCATCTATGGGATTGGAAGAGATGCAATCAACTTCTCCAATGCAGCTACCTCCACAACTTTTAGGGGCCTGGCTGGTTTGTACGTCTCCTTCTCCGCCAAGAGCCGCTGTGCACACCCCCACAGCCGTGGATCACTCAATAACTGTTCGGGAATCGGAATATCAAGCACAAACCTCGCAAATCTAAAAGACTCCAACAAAGTCATGCCCCTTGAAGCTGAAGATCTGGCATGTTCTTTTGAACCCAAATATTGTAAGCAATGTCTCCTGTCCCAAGGTGACCAATCTGGCACATGCATCTGCAGCCATGAAAAATACTGCAGCAACGTCTGAACTCTTTTGATGGCAGTTAGAGGTGACTTGATCCCCAATGATGTAGAAAAAGCGCCCTGCAAAGATCTGCGGTCAGATCCAACGCTTCTCTAAATTTCTACAGAACTACGCGGGCAAACGCGTACGTCAACCACGCACACCAAACACAAGCGCAGCGCGTAAGTCCCTAACTAATTAAACTAAAGCAATACCGTGTCAAAAGGAATGTTTCTTCCACGACTCCCACATGCTGACGTCAAGCTCCTTCTTTTCGCTCCAGACGCAGCACGATCAGTCAAAGAAACAAACACAACAAGCAACACAAAACAGAAACAAAACAAGAAAGAGGAAGATCGTGTTCCCTCTGCTGATCTGTCTTATGTCAAGTTATGTGACACAGCAGCTTCTGTTCATTAAATGAACTTCTGACACCAGTCCTTCGAGCCGATGTCTCAACTGGTAAACTCGATTCCAGGTTTCCAGTTAACAAAGCTCAAGTTCTTCAAATAAAGGTTTGTTGAAACTATTCCAGCTGCTAGAAGTCTACAAAACTCAATTTCACTAGATGAATTCAAAATCATCGAAACACTTCCAAAAGTTCTCAAATCAAACTGGTTCTCATCCAAACGTGAATAACCAGCTCATTAGTCAAAATTGTGACTAACTTCTCAAGAACGAAGTGATTCACACAAGGTATCTGTACAACCTTCTTCTGAATACAAAACATAGTCAGAACACAAAGTTCTTTCTCCAAATCAGTTTTCCACATAGAGATAGCATCTCACAGTTTCCAATCTCAATGGAGAATAGAATGTTCTATTCGACATTGTCAATGTAGGTCAGCCAAATACAGTTGTATCGCTGAAGTCTTTCGACCACTGTAATAGCCAATCCACAGTGTAGATCAAAGTCGTGTCAAAACAATGTCGTCCTCACAGAGATAATCAAAGTCATCTCAGGAACGATAAAGGACAAACCATAAGATCAAGTGTATGATCCACAGTCCACGATGACGATGATGTAGGTATTGTCCTCACAATACCGAAACATCTCATCACAAAACTCTCAGACAAATAAGATGCCCAAATATGATCATTGTCCTCACAATGCCAACGCATCTCAAGGTCCAAGTTCAAAGCATAATAGATTCTCTCCATCAGATATTCCCAGCTAGCTTAAACTCTTCTCCAAGAGTTTACAGCTGTGTTCTCATCACTTGGAGAGAATGACCTTCTCAACGTCGAAGACGTAATAAACAATTCCAATGCCAAACCAATGTAGGTATTTTCAGCTCAAGCAATAAGCTGTACCAGACTCAAGTTGAATCCAGAATAAGCTGTAGAACTGATCCATATACCACAATCACTGGTCAACACTGATCAATGACATCATCCTGATGTCAGAAACAGTAAGTCCGAAGACTAATAGAATATCGTGACACAGGATGGCCACATACAAGATCCTTTCCGCAATAAGTAGAGTGTTCTCTACCAATCTGTCATGACTTCTTGCAGTAACCTTCCACATATCCTCTGTGCATAAACTATACAACCAATGATGAATGGCATGTCGCTTCACCCTTACCCAAAGGGTGGTCTCACAGGGTGTCAAATTTCCATACCCCCTTTCGACATGACATCTCATCCACTCACTCGCTTCCAGATACACTCACATCACTTCACTTCCATACCTGGAAGAAAAATGTTCACGTTCCAGATCATATCCATGATCAAAAGATGTCCACAGAAGTACGTTCACGGTTCAGATCACATTCATGATCAAGATATCCAAAAGTACACGTGCTTCCAAAACTAACGGTCGATGATAAAGCATCATCCCAAAACTCATCTTGTTCGACTCATGCATAATGGCGTAACTTCTAAATTCAAAATCTTCTCTGTCGCGAAAGCCAGATGTTGGAATACCAGACTCAGTCCAAAGACTCCTAAAGTCTTTCCAGTACTAAGCTCGTCTTCCAAAATCCAGTTCCTCGGATAAACCCATGGCGTCGATAACGATATACCTACAGTGCTGTTGTCTTCCTACAACAAACAAAACAACAACAACAACAAAACAGACACAACACACACACGAGACCCAAGACGAAACCTAACGTCGCACGATCGGAGTCAACACGAAAACAAAGGCCAACTGTTTCAGCTAATCCGCACCTTCGTGAAGAAGGTAGGCGTGTAAAAGAAAACGCAAGTGAAGTAATATCACTCATGCAACTCATCTCAAATTCAGAGCAAGTGAAGTACAGTTCACAGTCACTGCGCAACAAATTCAAAATGTTCTGAATGCAAATCTCTCTCCGTCAGGGTCAGGACTAACTAAGATTGGCACGGAATGAGGAAGCGGTGAGGGACATTTTAGTAAAACATCTCTCACAGCTTCATCATCGCATAGATCGCCTTCCCCCCTTTCAACGTCTGATCCATCCTAATGATCTCGGAGGTGTGATATGTCTTGTTTGAGTCTATATCATGACCTGACAGCGCAATGTGTCTGCAATCATGGCATCAGATTCCCCGGAAGAATTTCCGATTACTTAAACTCAGATTCCGTCCGAGTTTCTTCCCAGGTTCTCATCACATGCCATGACAACACAATTATACCAAAATGTTTGGGCAAACACTCACAACCTCAAGTTCCATGTTTCAATCAACAAAACTCAAGTCATGTACACAACAACTCAAACATGAGAAATATCGCAATCAAGCCAATCAAGAACAACTTCAACTTTTCTTCATGATGTCTCCCTCAGATCTGCTAGCAACTCCGAGTTCTGAATGCCTTCAAGAACGTTGCTCTCGCTATCGTCATTGAGAGACAAATGACAACAAAACGAACTTCAAACCAAAACCATATCTACTGCGTCAATCGGCGTGTCTCGCCCCCTTTTAAACTCAAATCCGATGCCTGCGCTCAGCCATGCCGTCATTTCTGAAAACAACAAGTGAACCTCGAGCTGATAAAATCAACTATTCTCTTGTCGTTAGACCATGCGAATTCCAGTGCCTTTGGCACTCTGCTCAGGGATAGATATCAGGGGTATACCCTGCGGTATTCCCGCGTCCCCTGAATCTGCATATACCCCAGAGGGGAAAACGCTGCGGTCCCCGTCAGAGGATCGTGACGTGGTGTGGGTGAAACAGCTCTGACACGTCCCGTGACTTCCTCGATCACCTGAGTAGGTGGCGACTTCATGTCTTTCACCTCCAAACCCAGGGGATAGCTCATCGGAACTTCACCCATCCGCGCCGGGCTATACCCTGCAAATCGAACTGTCTGCAATGTCGGTGGTGCTGGAATTGCCAGTCTTGGCGGAATCGCCGGAGGCGGTGGGACACTTTTGCCAGATCCAGCTGGTGCCATGGCTGGAGTCATAGGGGCCAATGATGGATCCATAGGTGCCAATGGCGGGTCATACGCCGGGGGCACTTCTGCCTGTGGCGTTCCCCTGATTTCTGCAGGTGGAGTTGCCCTTTCGATTCTTTCTGCCACCAGCTTGAGGCTTTCCTGGAGTTTATCCATGCTCTCATGGAGTTGCGACATGATGTCTTGCAACGACTGATCCCTTTCCAGGCGACCCTTCTTGTTGTCACGAAGGGTGTCCTTCATTGAAGCGTCAAGCGACCATTCAACGTGCTTCTTGAGCTTGGTAAGTTCACCTACCATCGCTCCAACCCTGCTGGTGTTATGATTCACCCCTGCTGCAAGGGACTCAGAAGCACGAGCCATGTTGGTGACAGCTTCTCCAACGGCTTCCAGGGATCTGCAAAGGTCAGACTGCAAAGTGTGGGTACTCTTAATCAAGATCTCAAGTTTGTCCGTCGATCCCTTCAACGCCGCGACCATGGACGTGATTCCCACAGCCAAGCCCGTGGTAGAACTCAACAAGTCGGCCGTCTCGTTGGGATCAAAGGACTCATGATGCCTTCTCAGCCTCGGAGATCTCGATCTGTCGTCATCTCTTCCAGCATCTCCTTCATCCTTGTCTTCTCCATCCACATGGATAGTATCCTGCTCTTTCTCTTTCTCGGAATCCGTCTCAGCTACTCCTGTCTGTGCCGTCAACGGTGGATTCTCAGACAAGGGAAGCTCTCCCTCTGCCATTGGAACTGCTGGGGCTGCTGGAGCTGCGGAAGATGTCACGTTCGCTGCCATGAATTGCTCGAGTCTCCTACACAAGGCCTGATGCACCCGCTGGGATAAGCCGGGACCCAAATACAGCTTGGGCATAATCTGCAATTCAACTTGACAATCCCT